GGGCGAGCGACACAGAGGGAAAGAGAAATGGAGCTCAGAAGACTGACCTAGATCAGCAAATGGTGGAGATAAGTACCTGAGAGAGAGCAGGGGGGACAATACAGTTTGGTGTCTGAGGGGGGTTTTCGGGGAAGAAGGGGTGTAGTGAGAGAGATAGGGAAACAATAAGACAATAGGAAACAAGAAAACAGGGAGTTAAAGAATGTGATATCTTGCATGCCAGCACATGCGTGTGGTTTTTCAGTGGTAGGCTCACAGCCTCATTAGGATCAGATGGACAGTAGCCGCCACGGCCTCGGCTGAGTTCCAGTGACACAACCAGGCTGGAATGTGGGTCAGTAGGCAGAGAGATGGAGGACCGCGATCAGGGAAAGTTTCCTACAAGGATTTGTGTGTGTGTGTGTGTGTGTGTGTGTGTGTGTGTGTGTGCCCTCACAAGCAGACGTGTGTATCTGCGTCTCTTCCCGCTTATGTTTTCCCCATCTTTCTTGACCGTCAGCCACGTGAAAAATAGAATAAGGGGAAGGGTGTGTGTTGATTGTTGAGTAAGAGAAGGGATGACAGTGAGTCCGCTTCTCCTCTCACCAGCTGATTCCCACTGAGCAAGCAACAGCTCAAAACCTCTCAGCACAACCTGAACCAAGCCTCCTAATGGGAGATGATTCAATGCTACCACAGCTCATTCTCACACAGGAGATCATAAGGTTATCCTAAGATAAGCCCATTTCTCTTCCGCCCATATTCTATGTCCTATGTTCACCCACATGTAGGTCAGAGATAAGCAGCCAGTTCAACCATGCTCTTAGAATCACAAACCAGTGCAGTGTGCTAATGGTCCGTTTCCTCCTCTGCCCCACTGTGTAAACATGCAATGTATACATGCTATACAAACCAGGCCGGTCAGAACCCAACCAGTTAACATGCTGGAAATATTGCTCAATGTGCCTGTGTGTCTGTGTTTTTTTTCCTCTCTTTTAAAGTGCCGAGTTAAGAGATTCATCACAGTGACAGCTTGGGGATCTTAACAGTTGCGAAAGTTTATCCTCCCACTTTCCAGGAAAACAGATGCACTTCGTATGTTGCTCAACTAAAAGCTTGTTAAGGTAAGTTTCAGTTATCTATTTTTTTTTTTTTCAAACTGCACATTCACACTAGTTTGACCTCGATGGTGCAAGAAATGCCGGAGCAACGAGTTTAACTGGTAGTGTTTCTCCTCAGGGTGAAGATAAGGCATGCTCATCTGCTTTTGTGTTTCTCTGCCAACGTTTACAAGGTTGTGCCTTTGTTCTGAGGTGATGAAATTATGTGCCAAAGGTAACATGTGGAAAGAACATAAGAAATATACTTTTTTTTTTTGGTTGCCTCAAAAAGGCAAGAAAAGATTAATGAGATTGCTTTTTACATAAGACAAGCGTGTGTGTGGGGAGGATGTATAAATCAGAGAGAGGCTGAGCACCACCCAGCCAAATCATCAATTCTCCACAGTCCCACCCTGATCGCACACATCACACACGCTTCTGCCTGACCACCAGTAAAGCTCTCACATTCTGCCGTGTACCCTGGGAATATGTAGACCTCTACGACACAGCCATGAATGGATCTCCTCTTACACACGCCTGATATTTAGCAAAGGGAACGGCAACAGGTTGCAGCTGTTTGGGACTAGAAGTCTTACTTTATTGCGGAAAACAGATGTAGCCCGCAGATGTGTGAAAGATAAAACACGTACACTCTAAGAGGACACAGCCACGGTATGAGCGTGTGTGTGTGTGTGTGAAAGTCATCACACGTGCACTTGAGAAGTCACAGCTCGGTGTGGGCGTTGCACAAACTTGAGAGCAGAAAATCTGGTTTGTCAAGTTAACCGTCAGAACAGAGCAGAGCATCCCACAGGAAAAAGAGATCCTCTTACCTCATTATTTCCTGCAGGGAAAACCTGTTTTTTTTTAAAAAAAAACATAGGAGCACCATAATCACGGAGTGTTTACTGTCACACATGCACACGCTTCTGTTGAGAACTTGAGAACAATTTTAGTGTTTTTATCTCAACACTCAGCTGACAGCTGACCTTAAAAAACCCTCACTGGGTTAACTCAAGTGAATGTTGGGCCTATTTTTTTTTAACACAAGCCTGTTTTTATTTTAGTTCCTGAAGAAGTGACATCATCGAGATATGATCTTTCCCCAAACTTCAGCAATATTCTCTGTCGGCATTCCTAGAAACAAACTTAATACTTTGCATGTTGGTGCTGGATCGTTGCATTGACCAGAAATGAACCTGCAACTATGCTAACAGTAGATCTCCTGGAGAAAGTCTTTGAACCTTGACTACCTTATCAAGTTAATTATTGATTTCCTACTCTTGTGCTGCATCACTTAAGATGAATTTCATGGTCAAGAGGTAACAGGAAATGTATGAGACAGGTCGCTGCTATCTGGTCCAGGACCTGATATCTGATTTCTGCTTTCACTTCCTGGTGTTGTATTAAGTACAAACAACACAGCTGCAGCTGATGTCAACCTCAGGTTGTACTTCATTTCATCATAAGTTCATTCAGGTTTGCATTACCTGATATACTATGTGGACTTGTTCTTAGTTTACCAAGTAAATATGAGGACTACAGAGCACTAAGTTCTGCAGAAATATTAGAGATCTCTCAGTAAAATGTAGCAAACACAGTATCGTTGCAGAGAGTTTCAGTCATCTATTGTGTGTAGATGGGGTCATTTTACCCCCTCGAATAAGCTTCCTGAGACCAAATGCTGATATTGTAAAGGAAATATTCAACTGTGCCAGAAAAAAGTGCCCTCAGGGCCGACAATGGGGCCCAGACAGGGAACACAGGCAGGTGAAACACCAAGCTATCCCAGCTGTAACAAAGGCCAGTGAGGTGTGAGACAGTTGGAGTTCAGGGTGTGCCTGGCTCGTCTGTCAGGCTGTACTTGAAGGAAATGGTTGCTCTGAGCTTATTAAACAAATGACTCCCAGTCAAACCTTAGTCATCCAGGCTTGCAGAGACTCGTCGGTGAGGTCATCGATGGGGCAGCAGCATCGCACAGGAATTCATACATGAAAGAAGTTATTATATGTTCGTTAGATTTATTGAATTCGACAAAGGCAGCAGATGGGAGCTTGTTGACCTGCTCAAATTCTAAAGAAGTGTGTCCTGATGAAGGCCTGCTAGGATCAAAATGTTGGCTTTATTCAGTCCAGTAAAGTTTTGGTAACTTTCAGATGTTAGAATACTCTTTATTTTTTGCTCCATTAACTCTGTTGTTCTGTACTCCTCCTAAACATAGGGCATTATGTGCTCACAACTACCATTCTGCTAATGATATATGAGAGTGTAATGATCTTACTCACAGGGTTAAAAATCCTTCAGGGGCATACTATGCTATATCTTTGTGTGACATACTATTCATATACTTTTTTTTTGCACTTTTTTATGACTTACTATACTATGACATTTTTATGTCATATTATGTCATGATTTTTTAATTTATTTTTTTATGGCATAAAATACTATTACTTTTTAAACACACTTTTTATGACATACTATATCAGGGCTTCTCAAAGTTTCTATGACAGAGTGCTAATTTAATGAGCCAGTATATGATTGGGGGTCGCACAGCAAATATGCATATATTAAACAAAGTATCTTTTCCATCTCACGTCCACATTAAACTTTAGCTAACAGCACTAGCATTGATTTCAGAAACAACACTTATGAGGTGCCACTTGTTACCATGACACCAGTAGCTTTCTTTAAGTAGTCATACCTAACCCGACAGACGCTCTTAAGGCTGAGTAGTGTATGATTAAATGTAAGCCACTGAAGATGAAGAAATTGAAATGGACAGAGGATGATTAAAATATAATGCATGCACTTTATGTCATGCTCAGAGACCGTAAAAAATGTGTCTGAGGGCTGCCATTGGCCCTCGGGCCGCACATTAAGAAATTATTGTTGGTAACTGCACTAAACCGGGCATCTGCTGCTAACAGACACTTTCATCTATCAAAAGTGAAGAAAGGACTTGATGAAATCCATCTTTACGAGATCCCTTTGCTATACCTACACCAGTAGCTCTCTGGGGGACAGCAGCTGCATGTTAGGAGTCTTACAGGCACGCAACACCCACCAATTACATGGACCACAAAGCAATGGAATATATAACAAAGGGCAGTAAAAGGCATGTCACATAACAAATGTAAGCCTTATGAGGAGGGACAAGAGGGTAGTGTTATCCAATAATGTAGAAATGACTGAGAGATTTTCACACAGAGATTTAACTGTTCTCCATTTACAGGCCACTTTACAGCCACTTACATGAAGCAGCGCTGCTCTCCAGCTGCATACCTGTGTGAATAGCTGCACTGGATCCAAGTAGCAGTCCACACAACCTCTGCCTCCAAACCACCGGGGACTGTTCTAAAGATACCGATTGTACATGTGTGTGTGTGTGTGTGGGTAACCTAGTTCAGAGCACATCAGGTGCCCAGCGTGCAGCAGCCACTGCAGAGGGGAGGATCCACAACAGTATCACACACTCTTCAAGGGCAAGTTTCAAGGACACGCTCAGTCTAACCTTCTGTAGACCAGCAGCTGGTGCACAAGACATGCTCGTTCTTTCAACAGATACCGCAAAGTGACACGGAGGGGAGGAAATCAAGCAGGTTGTTTGTGATCCGCCCTCATTTACAGCTGATTTGTGTGTGATAGTAGGTTTTCTCTCTGGAGGGGCAATACCATGGCAGCATGTGGTGGATGTTATCCACACCACCAGTGTGAGGCAGGTTGAATCTGTGTCATTTGTTACTTCTGCCTTAAACATTTAAATTACAGGTTCAGTTTGGTGCATAGTTTTCTTTGTGATGGAAGTGGAAACTAGTAGATGCTGTGGCGGTAATTTTAAGAGGAGAACAGAACTCATTTGATGGCAGGCTAACTTGTGTGTTAGCAGTGTATGGCATTTGAATAAAACACAAAGACTTCAGGTTTGTATGCAAATATTGTATAAAAATTTAATGTTGCTGTCGATGTTAGCATGCTTTAAAAATCAACTAAAATCAGGAGAAGCATTGAAATCACAAAGTGACGTGTGAATATAAAGTACAGCAGTGCTACTTACTCTTTTTTTTGCCCATTTTTCCTATTTTCTTAACAAAATAGAGGTTCCTCGATGCCTGATGGCACGTCATAAAGAGGAGCAAAGCTCGTTGACGACTCTTGATTTTGTCTCCTTCACCGGGAGCAATAAGCTATTATTTACAGAACACTTTGTACATCAAACACTCAGTCATGTAAACCAAACAAACCAGAACTGACTCATTTGTTCATTCATTCACACACACACATACAGAAAGGCATTCACACTTCACTCCATTTTTAAGTGTGCAATGATGAAATGAAGACATCTCAAACACACATCCTGAAGGCTGCATATACTCACTATCATCACACTGATAAACTATTAACAAAGTTCTTATTTCCCATCACAGCATACCAGGAAATGTCTTAGTCATAGCTGTAAAAATCCATCACCCCTGCTCCCAACTAACACACTGTCCAGATAAAAGATAAAACACGGCACACTAACTGCTCCTCCTCTTCATATCAGGTTCATTGGCCAGCACACTCAATTCATAGGAAGCCCACAGCTATATGAATGTATTCCAAAACAATATTCACAGCTATTTACATGAGGCATGTTTGTTATATAAAAACTGGAGCATTCCAAAAGTGACAGGTAACTTGAGAGTAAAGTTCCTGACTGGAAATAATGAGGCAGTTTATGTAAAAAGCACAGTTTGTATGCGTCTCAAGAGCGCTTCAGTTCAGAGAGTCTGCGGAGGAGCTGCTGCTGTCGGGATTTGAGGCGCTTCTTCTCCTGGAGCTGCCGTTTCTCCCTTGTGTGCAGGTCCGCCAGGTACTCTGTTGCCTGGGTCAGGATGGCCACCTTCGGAGTCTTTGCCGACTCCAAACCGGGAATCTGATCCCGCAGGGCGAGGAAACGGGACCGAAGATCGTTCCTCCTCTTCCTCTCGAGGAAGTTGTGGTTCCGCCTGCGGTCAGTGTCCTCTGCGTCTGAGTTCTGGGGACTATCTGAGGGGGAGCCGGGCGGGGAGGCACCAGTAGAAGACCCTGACTGATGACTGGATCCGGTGCAGGAACGCTTGCTTTGGGGCTCTTCTTCATACTCCTCATCTTCATCCTCCTCCTCCTCCTCGGGTTCTGGTTCACTGTCTGGGGAGCGGGCGGCGTAGTTGTGCTGCTGCCGGTGGACGGACATGTGGAAGCGTTTGGGGCAGGGGTCGGCCCGGACCGTGATGGTCACTGGTTTTCTGACGTTCACCAGCCGCACCCGGTTCTGCTTGCTCTCCACGGTGACCACGTCGATCTCCTCGTCATCATCTGGAATCACATATGAAGTACTCATCAATACATGTAGAATAAAGGTTTTAAAGGCATGTTTCAGTGCCATCCTTTCCCAAATACTCTACTGGCCAGTCAAGCTGAATGAAAATGTTACTAAACTGACTACAAGGAAGTGCATTCCTCAGCCAAGCCTGCAGATCACTACTCCACCATCTGAGGAGGGCAGAGCAGGAGCTGAGGTGTTAACAGCAGTGGTCATCTATGCCAAAGCTTGCAGGAATTCAGGCTTTTGTCTTTGAGCACTGAGCATTCATCAACAATTTAAATGAGGAGATCTGCTGGCAGGGGGCACACCCTAATTTGGAAAATGTGAAAGAGTTACTCTCACGGTGTGTTGCTGTGTGTGTAGTAGTAATAAATCACCAGGACCCGGTCACCCCGCCCCTCTACCGCACTCTGATTGTAATGCAGAGCCGGTGGATGATATTGAAAGGGGGAAATTCGAGTCAAAGTGACGGGGGCGCGGTTTTTAAAAGACTGCATGGGAATTCAGAGCGAGCATGTGGCGCATTGTCAAAGTGAGGGTAAAAAATCCAGCTTTAAAAGGTGACTGACTGTGTTGTACTTGATAACCCCTCTGCACCACAGACCACAGTTATGCAACAGCAGCCCAGCTATCCAAATTACGCATTGTTAGAGGGCAATATAATCCTGAGGCAGGGTAAGGGTGGGGCAATTTAAAGCATGACTGCTTCCTTACCAGAGGAATCAGAGCGAGACTCGGAGCCAGACGACGCCGGCTTTCTGCAGCTGCTTGCCGGGAAGGTGAGAACAGCCGCGGGGTCGACGCAGTCTGTCGCCGAGGCGGCGTGCGGGCCACTGGGAGAGACGCACTGCGCTTTGCTCGGTCTCACGGAGATCTGAGCCACCGGGGAGACACCGGTCTGTGCCGCAGCCGACACTCTCCCGTTGACCTTCTCCAGCTGCTTGCTGGCAGAGAAACTACTCCACATGCAGTCCTGGATGATGATGGAGCTGAGGTTGCCGAAAAGCTCCTCCGTGTCCGGGATGAACTGACCCTCGCACTCCTCGTCCTGCCCCAGGACCTTGGACAGCCAGTTGAGCTTGTCTCCCGGGGAGAGGTGCAGGGCACCACCGCTCAGAGTCCGGGTGGGAGACATGGGAGGGGTAGGCAGCAGCTCGAACTTTTTCCATATGTCCTCACTCGGTGCGGTCGACTTGTAAAAATCCTCCTCTCTGTCGAAATCATCGAGGAAATAGTGCTGGTAACAGTCGAACTCCATGTTCCCAGTTAATAAATCCTCCAGAGTTTATTCCCAGAAATGATCAAATGACACCAGTGGCCTCTGAAGAACGTCCTGTACAACCTGAGGGGGGGAATATCACAGTGATTAGCAATGATCCTTTTAAAGTGGCTCCCATCAGATGTAAGATCACATTTCAAGTGTCCATCTAATGGGCTATTAGGACATCACATCCCTCTAACAGCCTACTTTCTACAAATGGGACCACATTAATAATTGATTGCATCTTGCTGATGCTCCTCTTGCAGGGATGGACAAACTGTCCGGGCACACAAGGTTATTACATAACCTATTATAGCCTATATATATATAATTAAATGTATAATACAGAAGAAGGGGCTGCAGACTTGTACAGGACTATCCTCCGTAAAAGTAACGCGCTGTGGCTGCGTTTCCTGAAATGTAGGCAGCGCTTTGTTTCACGCAGCAATCATGTGAACCGGCGAAGAAGAAAAGTCACAGCGTGGGTTAACGCGCACAGACAGCCCTCTGTTTAATCACTGGAAACTTTCAAAGGCACACACATTGGTAAAAGTACTCACCGGCTCTCCGGAAAATAAAATCCCACAGTGAAATTCAGGGCATTGAAAATCCCCCGGCAGCCAAAGAGCAAAGAGTCCACGGTTCACCGGGATCAACCGGATAAAAGCTGACCGAGTTGTTGCTGGATACAAATACGCGCTGCTGCGATACAGTCCAAACTTTTTTGTTTTAGTCTTGAGTAAAAGGAAAAAAAAGCCGGGGCTCAAACAACACACACAAGATCCGCCCCACAATGTGTTATAGAAAGCCACACAGTGCGTTTTTCGCGCCAGTGAGATATCCTGTTATAAGGCGATAAAAAAAGTGCAGGGAGGAGCCTCGGAAATATCTGCAGCGGTAGATCCGGGTAAGCCCCTTCATTTGCATCAGAGGCTGGTGGAGGCGCACAGCCCCGCCCCGTCTACAACACCTATTATGGTCACAATAACTGACAGACTTTGTTATCAATATTTGTTGCTCTCAGTGAAGTAGAAGGAAACGATGTGTTTATTGTTGCAGGCATTTCCTTTGAGATTTACATTCCCATCCTTCAGCCTGCTTTGCTTGACCATTATATGCTGAATTCTGATTCTAATCTGCCACGTTTAAGAGCACACTATTACACCCTTAAAAGGCTGCATGGGTTAAAAACAACAACCCTATATGGGTAAATTTCAGCTACACTGCTGGGTAGCTATTGAATCTAACCCAGCAAAGTGGGTTGAAAAGTCTCCCCAAATGCTGGGCAACAATCACCACAATGCTGGGTTAATTCTAGATAGATATTGTTTATTGTCCTTTCGGAAATTTTTCTTGTGTCTGTGGCCATCAGAGAAAACAGAAAAAGATACATAAAACATTACAATGAAGACACCACAATACAAACACTTGACACTGCAGACAAAACCCTCAGACAATTCATAACATTGGACATTACAATAAAGACAATTTAAACATCCATCAAACAATACAACAGACGATACAATGACGATTCTACCACTTATAGTTAAACATTTCAAGATATAAGAGGCTTTATTGTCAATTCTACAGTTATGTACAGGCATATAGAGAATCAAACAAGGCTTCACTCTGAATTGACCCACGATGCAGACAGTTCAAAAGGATAAGTATAAAATAGAGGTGATACTACAAATAAAAATAAATAAGAGCAACCAAGTCGTGCAAAGATGTAACTGCACTCAATGTAAATGTGCAAATATTCAACAGTTTGAATAGCAGCTTGCACACTAGACAAGAACAGTAAATGGTGAAAGAGTGCATGAGTTAGTTCTAGTCTTAAAAGAATAAAAAAGCTGTGTACACGAAACATTGAAAATGGTGTTGGTTGAAATAAGAACATTTGTAAGTTGTCTTGTGAAAATTTTCTGACAATAACTTTGTTCTCTGTGCCATCAAATTGATCTGATATGTTGCTGCAAGTTGGATTTTTCATCAGTAATCTCCAGACTTTGTGGAATATGTACAGAATTAAATGACATGGAATGTTGGGTTAAATTTACCTCATAAATAGGTTATTATTTTCATGTTTAGTTACAGTAAAATCTGTAAAATAAAATGGTTCAATAGATTACAATTCCAGTAAATGCTTAAATTACTTTGATATACTGGCCTATAACAAAAGACATCCAAGATTTGGTAATGCAAATGATGCACACATGAAATATGACACACTTATACTGAAATTTTAGAAAGATATTTATTGTTAAGATTGGAAATTCATAGCAGATTCGTTCAGCCTATATCAGTATTAAAAATGGCTGACAACCAATGCAAACACAGCTGTGTCTTTGTTTCCAGTCATCCAGGTCTCATTTCTATGTTGTTACAGTATAAGTTGCCCATAAACAGTTATATCTATTATTCTATAAAACACTATCAAAGACACAAATGAACTGTTCTTGACCTCTAAGTAGGCATTAATAAATGCCATTAATGATGCATGGAGCCAGCCTGAGCGAATGATCAGCACAAGAACTGTACATTTATTCCAATACATTTCCCCCAAGCATCATACTTACCACAAAATAGGGAAGGAAGAAAGGAGGGATGGATGGACAGATGAATGGAGTTACGGGAGGGAAGGAAAAGCTGGATTTTTTTCTTTAAATCCTTTAAGTTGTGAAAAAAAAACCTTTTCTTCAAGAGTGACATTTTTAAGGTGGTGTACATTTTAAGAAAAAACAAACTTAATCATTCTCCAAATTCTGACTGCTTGTTTTTTTATTAACATCATTTGTAGTTTTACTTTTAATACTTGAGTACATTTAATATCATCAAACTACCTTTTATACTTAAGTACAGTAAATATCAGGGTCCCGTTGCACAAAACACCTTAAGTTGAGATTTTTCCTTTAAGTCCTGGTTAAAGTTTCCTTAAAGTAAAATCAGTTGCACAAAACACCCTTAAGTGTTCTCCTTAAGATTTCCTTAAAATGTTCACTTAAGTATTTATGGTTTTCTCCTTCTCTTGGTCGAGTTGTGCAACCAGGAGAGCCCAATAGACACACTTCTGATTTTACACTAAAGATTTCACCAAATTAATTTTTGTTGCAATTTCTTCCTGCAGTTGTTTCCAGTTTTTACTTTGTAGTTTGTGCTTTCTGTGATTGTGTTCCTCCAGAAGTGTAATCTTGTCCTCCTCTGACGAAGATGATTCTCTCGTGTTCTTTTCTTCTGCCATTTTTTTCACTATTTAACTTTAAGCCAACTTTGCATCACAAGCATGAGTTCAGTTAAACAAATTATCTCCATGGAAACTTTTACAGTAGTAGTAGCACAGCAGGAAATGAATTAAAGCTTTTCCTTAACTAAGGAAACCTTTTAAGGTATTCTCTGCAACTGTGTAAGGAGAAATTAAGCCTTAACGGTCATACTTTAGGAGAAAACTATGGTGTTTTGTGCAACTGGTCCTAGATTCTTTGACTTTTACTCAAGTAATATTCTAGGTGACTTTAATTTCTACCAGAGACATTTCCTGTGAAGATATACTTTTACACAAGTGTAGCTTTCTGCTTCTTCATCTGTGACTGTTCTTTTGGCACTGTCTATCTCTATCTCTCTCAGCACTGGCCATAGATCAAATTACTCAGCGATATATGAAGTAAGACTCAGTTCCTCTTTGTCCTGGTGCAGCAGTGAAACAACTTTGTCACAATGCTAATGATGCAATAATAGAGCCGAGGCAAAGAGTTGATTAATTGAACAGGTGTCTGGTGAGCTGAATATTTTGATTGCACAAGAGGAGACATTTAAAGATGTCGGCTTGGCTTTTAAGAAATTGTGATGCTAACTTTTTACTATTTTCTGATCATTTATAGATTAAAAGTGACTTATGAGGAAATAATCTCAGCTAAAGTAAAAAGTAATAAACACCCAATGGCCATTTTTGTGCAATAAGGTTGCTGCTTTGCTCCAGTAAAGGATCTATCTCCCACCACTGCTTCCCAGCATCACTAACACATGTTGCTGAGTTAATATTTCACTATAACAGCATAATGCATTTGAAATATTCCACAATGTTGTTACATTCAGCCTTTTTTGGACAGAATTTTGACAGTATTTTTTCCAGTCTGACGTCTCTGCATTGCTATATGAGTCTGTTTCCCTCATCCTGAGGTAAAGCTGACATGTCTTGACCTTGAGGCTAAACATTAGTTTTAAGATGATCCTCTTTTCCTTAATCCTGTTAAAACTGGTAAACCTCAGAAAAGATTTCCAATCCGCCCTTTTTCCAGTGACTCTTTTTCAGTCTGTCAATTATTACCCATAACCAGCTCAGCTCAGGACATCAGTTAGAGAGAAAGACAAAGCAGCTGCAGAACAGTTTCATAAAGTTGCATAGGTGTGAAAAGTTCACAGTATCAGGCCTTCCATTTGTATCACAAAGGATTGACATTAAGTGCGGATAGCTCCTCATTTCCATATTCAGTATCTTAACACAGGTGTATTCGATTCCAAGCTGTGAAACATCTCCACAGCGAAGGGTGGAGCGCACGTTTGAATGACCTGCTTTTTAACACAAAAGAGCACAACAAGGACACAAACAGTGGAGTGTCAGCTGTCTGCAGGTGGTGGTGAAGTGAGTAATCCTTTTTTTACAGTGAGAGAAAACAAACATGTTAATGTGTTAAGCAAACACTACCATATTGGGTCTTAAATTCTTGTTTACAGGCAACAATAACAGCTCAGCCAGAGAAAGAAAAGACCACCCCTGTATGTGTACTCAACGACCTGGAACATTAAATTATTTTAACCATAATATGAACATATTGAACAAGGCAATGATTAAGTAGACACATGATTTGTCTGTATATTGTCTGGCGTGAACAAATGCTTTATCCTCACTGGCAAGCAAAAGGTCAAAGTTCTCCAACGTCTCATGAGCAGACAACGCCAGGTCAAAATCATACACCACCCGTGACCTCAACCTCGTCCCGTCTAACATATTGATCCGCTGGGTCCATAGCATGCACGCCTTCTCCTTGATTAAGCATCTCAGTGGACAAAACAAAGAAAAACAGTATCCCTGGTTATATTAGGGCCAAGTTAATGACACTGATTAGTGACGAGCATCTGTTGTCAGCAACCGGCCTGAGGTCTGCCTGAGGCCTCTGATGCTTGGCCTCTTTAAGTGTGTAGTGTGGTAAAAGTGGACTAAAGGCAGTATCAATCAATATCGTATCAGACAAAGACGGGAAAGAGAGCTGAGTCACAAATCTGGTGTTTGACTAGAATGACTTGATAATAGGGCTACAAAGATTAGTCGACTATTCGATGACTAATCGACTATTAAAATAATCGGTGACTATTTTAGTAGTCGATTTATCAGTTTGAGTCATTTTTCATAGAAAAGTACTATAAAAGTACCCCAGAATACTCTTCTTGCAGCTTCTTACATTCAGATATTGGCAGCTTTACACACTCTCCCATGACGGTGAACTAAAACCCTTTGGTGTGACTACGAAACAAGACATTAGATAACATAATTTTGGGGTTTGGGAGAGACGGGCCGACATTTGTCAACATTTAACACATTTTTTGCTAAAATGATTAGTCGACTAATTGACGGAATAATCGACAGATTAGTCAACAATGAAAATAATCATTAGTTGCAGCCCTACTTGATAACATGCCCAAGGCCAAAAAACAAAAAAATAGATGCTTTTTTAAAGTGTACAGGGAAATCAAACCTCCAATTTCATGACAACAGATACACTTTGAATCACTCCACAGCAGCCAATCATGTTGCACGAGCAGGAGGCAAACATGCATTTGGCAGGTT